AGCTTCTCGTCGTCCGTGATCAGGAAGTTGTCAAAGATGGTGCCTGACTTCACCTGTGGGGATGGGCGAGTCAGGGGGTCCTAGAGCTCCTTGGGACCCCCCGAGGCCCTCCCAGGACCCCCCCTCACCTGCCAGAGGTCGAGGCCGATGACCCCGAAGCTGTCGTAGGAGTAGAGCAGGGGGTCGGGGCTGTACTCGGGGTTGTCGATCTCGGGGTGCACCCACTTGCCCTTGTAGTCGGGGTTGTCGATCTGCTGCGGCCTCCACTCGCCCTGGGGGGGCGACAAAACGGGGTTCAGAGAGGGCGCAGCCCCTTCCCCAGCCCCCCCTAGCCCCCTGCAGGCCCCCCAGAACTCACCTTGTACTCGGGGTTCTGGATCACGGGGGGCTCCCACTCCCCGTCCATCTCCTCGTCCCAGTCCTCTGGTTTCTTGGCGTCGGGGTCTGGGATGTGCTCGGGTTTGTCCCAGTCCTGGAAAGGAAGGTCAGGAAGGGTCAGGGGGCTGCTATGACCTCCCGGGATGGTGGCACAGACCTCTCCGAGTTCCCTGAATCCCACAGTTCTCACCCAGTCCCTCGCAGAGTCCTGCTATTCTCCCTCTAATCCTGCCAGAAGCTTTTTACAAACCCCCCCTAAATCTCCTAGAGACCCCTAAGTTACTCCCACAGCTCCCAAAAAGCCCCCAGAGCTCCCTTAGCCCCCCAAATCCCATCAGGGCACCACCACAATCCACCCCAGAGCCCCCCTAGACCCCCTCCCCACCTCAGGCTTGGTGTCCTCGGGGTCATCGATCTTGGCCCGCTCGTCCCAGTCGTCGGGTTTCTTGGCCTCGGGGTCCTTGATCTTTTTTGGGGGCAGGAAATCCCAATCCTCCTCCAGGCTCCCCGACTCCACGCGGGCATTGTCGATCTTCACCTCGTAGGTGTTGTCCGGCCTCACCACCAGCGTGTACAGGTGGGTGAACTCGTCATCCTGGGGACACGGGGGGAGGGGGGCTCAGCAGGGCTGGAAACGCCCCCCCGTGGGGGACAGCAGGACCCCCCCAAACCACCCCCCACACACCCACCTTGCAGCGAATATCTTTATTGATCAGCACGTTCTTCCCTTTGTAGTTAAAGATTACGTGGACCTTCTTGGTGCCAGGGCCGCAGATGTCAGGACCTGGAGCGGGGGCGGGGGGGGCACACGAAGGGTCAGGGAAGGGGGGTTGAGACCACCCTGAAATGGGCTAAAAAAAACCCAAAAAAAAAAAAGCAGGAACACCCACCGAACATGATGTTGTACTCGGAGTCGCCGTGCATGTCCTCCTGGTTCAGGCTGGCAGGGAAGAGCTTCACGTAGCCACCGCCACAGTCGATGTTCTGCTCGTGCTTCACCGTGAACTGCACCACCAGCGTCTTGTCACGGTTGCTGAAGGGCTCGAAGCGCGAGGACAGGGCGTAGAACCGGGCGTCCTGGCTCGTCTGGATCCCTGCGCGACGTGGGGTGCGCTGAGCAACGGGGAGGGAACCACACCCCCCCCTCCTCGAGGTCCTCCCCCCACCTGCCACGACCCCACCGGCCCCGCTCACCTTTGTCCTTGTCGGCGTCGCCGTAAAACTTCCCGGCGGTGAGCACGAAGCGCCCGTAGTCGGGTTTGTGCTTGGATTCCACCCACCGGCGGGTCCAGGCGTCTGCGAGGGGGGGGGAGTGTCAGGATCCTGGACTCCTCCAGGAAGGTCCCCCCTGCACCCCCAAAGAGCTCAGGGCTTGGGCAGGTTCCTTGCAGGATGGATTTGGGGTTCTAGGGGGAAGCGAAGTTTCCCCAGAGGCTCCTCTCCATGCGGGTGCTGTGCTCCTCACAGTCCTTTTCCTGCTCCTTTCCCCTCTTATCCTGCTCTACCTGCCCAGCTCTGCTCGAGGGCTGACCCTGAGGTCCCCGACTCTATCCCTCAGGTGACCCCCACCTTTGCTGGCCCAGGGAGACACCCCAGCACCCTCGTCCTCCCTGTCCCGACACCCACTCACTCCCCACACGTGAGGAGCGGCCTCCTGCCATCCCCTGTCACCTCAGAGAGCACGGGGCCTGTGCTCCCCCCATTCTCTGCCCTCACAGAACACAGAAAAATCCCCTCCTTTTTCCCCCTCAGAGATCACAGGAGGGTCCCCCCGACTCTCTCCTCATAGTATAGAGAAAGGTCCCCCCTTTCTTTCCTTAAATCACTCCAGTGTCCCCTCACAAAACACAGGGAGAGGGGGGACACACACGCAATTCTCTCCCCTCAGAAAATACATGGGAGCAGCCCCTTTCTCCCCTCAAAAGTCATAGGGGGTGCTACCATTCTCTCCTCTCACAGATTACAGGAGGATCCCCTCATTTTCCCCTCAGAAAAGAGGGGGTGATCCCTCCATTCTCTCCCCTCACAAAACACAAGAGGGTCCTCCCATCCTGTCTCCCCTCAGACGCCCCCCAGCCTCCTCAGGCACCGCCCCCCCAAGCCCTTAACCTCAGGAGCCCCCCCCTCAGGCCCCGCCCTCAGGGACCCCCGCCCGGCCCCTCCCTCACCTCCATCCCCGAACTCCTCGCGGAAGAACTGGGTGGGGCCGGCGGCCGCCAGGAGGGCTCCGAGAAGGACGGGGGCGAGGACGCTGAGGGGGCTCATGGCGAGGGATCAGGGCACACTCGCTCCGTCCGTCCCGGCCCGGCGCCGCCCGGCACTGCGGAGGGGGGAGGAGGTGCCGCGGCTTTTTATATGCCCGCCGCCCCTCGCCCCGCCTCCGCCGCGGTGCTATTGGCCCGAACCCGCGCGCGGCCCTCTCCCATTGGCCGCCCGCCCGCCCGCCGGCGGCGACGGCGCCCCCGAACGTTGGCGTCCCAGATGGCCGCTTCCCATTGGCTGAGCGCGGAGGCCAATGAGGAGCGACCACGCGTTCGGAGGGAGACGCCCCCCCGCCCCCTGCCTCGCTCCGGGGGTCACGTGGGGCACGCGCTCTTAAAGGGACAGGCCTGGGAGTGGAGGGGGGGAAAGAAATTGAAGGGGAAATTGCGAATATGGGGAGGGAGCACTGGAGACGCGGGGTATGGGAGTCTCCTACTCGTCTTTGCCTTTGTACAGCGCCGTGAAAGGGTGATGATGTCATTGGTTAAGTGATGGTACAGCAGGTGTGAACACAAGGAAGGTGAACCCAGGCTGCGGGTCTCTAATGAAGGTCTGGACTGTAACAGCCCGCTGGGGTCCGTGGTGGAGCCACTTCGCACCTCATGATGTCATTGTGCAGCCTCGGGATGTCACGGCGCCCCCCTGCAGCCACCTGTGCCACCACGCCACACTCAACATGGCGCCCGCCACGCTTAGCACGGGGTCTGCGCCACACCCAAGATGGTGAATACGCCGCTCCCTCCTCCAGGTGTGGCAGAGGCACTTCCGGCAGACCCGAGAGCACTTCCGGCGGCTCCGGGCTCACTTCCGGCCATGGCGCCCAGCGTGGCTGAGCGGCTCCTGGAGCGGCTGGACCAGGCCGGGGCTTCCGGGGGCCTCTGCAGCATCGAGGCCGCCGCCGAGCTCGGAGTCGACCACCAGACGCTCGTGGGCGCCGTCAAGAGCCTGCAGGCGCTGGGCGAGGTGCGGGCACCGGGGCCGGGGCGCGGGGGAGCCCCCGGGAGCCGCTGGCATTGCTGATCCCGGTGCCGCTGCAGGTGATCGAGGCGGAGGCGCGGACGGCAACGCGATGGGAGCTGAGCCCCGAGGGCGAGGAGGTGCTGCGGGACGGCAGCCCCGAGGTGCGGCTGTTCCGGAGCCTCCCCGAGGAGGGGCTGCCCCAGGGCGAGGCCATGGTGGGTACCGGGGGCACCGGAGGGAGGGGAACCGGCGGTGGGCTCCGCCTCACTCGTTCCGCTGTGTCCCCGCAGAAGCTGCCCGGAGGCTCCTTGGGCTTCAGCAAGGCCATGGCCAACAAGTGGGTGCGCCTGGATAAGGGAGCGCCCGGCGGTCCCCGCGTTCTGCGCGCCGTGAGTGGCCCGGAGGGAACGGGCGGGGGTCCCCGAGAACTGGGAGTGTCCCGAGGGGGGGATGGATGGGGGTCCCCGAGAACTGGGAGTGTCCTGAGGAGGGGTCTGGGGGTCTCCGGTAACCGGGAATGTTCCGGGGGGGGATGTCGAGGGTCCCTGTTGGGCTGTGCCCAGCCCTGGGGTCTCCCCGTGCCCCCCCCAGGTGCCCTCGGTGCAGGACACGGTGCAGGAACACCTGGGGCAGGTGAGGACGGGAGGGGCCCAGGCCCTGCCCGAGCGGGACCGCACGGAGCTCAAGAGGAGGAAACTGCTCCTGGAAACGTGAGTGGGGCAAAATAAATTAACAAATTAATAAATTAATATTTATTGCTTCTAAATTGCGTAATTCTATTCATTAATCAGTGCTTTGTTCCGCATTTGGTTGTTGATTTATCGGGTTTCATTTTAGCTTCATCCATACTCTTTAGTCCTTTTGTTATCTGTTGGTCGGGCAGGGAATATCCAAATTTCCGGGTTTTGGTTTTTCCCGGTATTTTCTGATTATTCTGTCCTTGAAAGGCCATAAATTTAAAGCCCCAGCTGCCCCATTTTCAAACCCTTTTGGTTTTGTTTACTGCAGTTTGTCCCAGCAAAACCAACCTTTGAATGATTTAACCGTGCAACGAGAGGCTCCTTGCCTTGACAAATACAAATCCCGCAGTTGACCGTTAGTGGAATTAGCGTTAATTAAATCAACCGGCGAAGAATTAGCCGGGGGGCCCTGGGTCGTTCCCAGGGGAATGATGGAATTCCTGCCCCCCCTGCAGGACCCTCAAGTCCTACTGGATCCGCAAAGGCAGCGCCTTCAGCACGGCCGTGGCGCGGCCGGAGACGGAGCTGACCCCGGAGATGATCGCCACGTACGTGTGTCCCCCCAGCCCCCACGACCCCCCAGGACCCTCTGTGAGCTTGGCCTGGCCGTTCCATGGCCCCTGACCCCCTCCTGCAGGGGCTCCTGGCGCCAGCTGCCCTTCAAACCCTACAACTTCTCCTCCCTGGGGCTGCCCCCGGCCTGCGGCCACCTGCACCCCCTGCTCAAGGTGCGCTCGGAGCTGCGCCAGATCTTCCTGGAGATGGGGTGAGTGAGGGGGCCTGGGGGTGGGCTCAGGGAAGGTGGGGATGGAGCTCTCCCCCCATCCTGAGGTGGAGCTGGCCCCCAGGTTCACGGAGATGCGCACGGATAATTTCGTGGAGAGCTCCTTCTGGAACTTTGACGCGCTCTTCCAGCCGCAGCAGCACCCGGCTCGTGACCAGCACGACACTTTCTTCCTGCTGGGTGGGTGCTGGGGGGGTCACAGGGACCCCTCTGACCCCCCCAGAGCCCCCTGACCACCCCA